ATTCAGATTCTTTTGTGAAACAGCCACTACAAGGTAGCATAATGATCAGAACTGGCATGGGACGTGCAAACTGTTTTCCATCAAGAGTACATCCTATTTTGCTGTAAGTATGGATAGTGTGGTTGAAGGAGAACCTCGAGAGCAGAAAATAGAGTTTCTAAGATGGCATGTAAACAGGAAATACTGTTCCAAGGTGTAAAGAACTTGAAAGACTGGAGCCAGAGACAACCTTTGAAACATTTTTTGCAGCTTCAGCAGGTACAGAGCTGCCTTGATTATAAAAGAAGTGAGCCATGGAGTGGCCGTTCTAATACTTCAGCTCTAGATTTTGATGGTCCTCTTACTGAGATGGAGGATCTATGTTTTCTTCCCTTCACTTTGGGTGCAGTGGTGACTGCACTGGCCAATAGAGTATGGTAAAAGCAGTCATGTGACTCTTGAAGTTAGGTCATAAAAGGAATGCTTGTTGCATGTTGTTTGCTAGAATACCTACCTTGAAGCTCTAAGTCTCCATGAAAAGGTTTGAATACTCCGAGACCACCATGCTGGGAGGAAGCCCAAACCACACAGGCCTATGCATATGTGTTTGGTCTACAGTCCATTTGAGTACAGCTTTTGAGTCATCCCAGGGGCCGACCCATAAAGGAAAAAGCTGCCAGACACTTCCTACCTTCAGTGTAGTATCCAAGATACTATCAGCTTTTGAGTCCTCCCAGCTGAGGCCCCAGATCACATGGAGCAGAGATAAGCCATCTCCAGTGTGTTCTGCCTGAATCCTCGTCTTGTTGAATTCATGTGCATAATAAGATATTTGTGAATTTATGCCACTGAGCTGAGCTGGTGTGCTATGGAGCAATGGATAACTGTAACGTGAAATTAATTTTCAGTCAGTGATGGAGGACCTTGTGCTTTATGCAAATCAATCCTTGGATGCCCTAGCAAATAAGCATGAGGGTTTGGTAAGCATCCTTTTAACTCCCTGGCCAGATCCTTGGATCAGACAACTGTACTTGATAGGTTTTCATTTGATATCAGATTTGCACTGGGTTCAACTATTACAAATTTAAGGTTATGGGATGTGGACCTAAAGTGGCCCCCAGGATGGAGAATTGATGCAGTTTCAAGTAGCAGGTCAATTACCACATGTGAGGTCAAACATTACAAACATCTTTCCCAAACTGAGAGAGGAAAAACAAATTAAGAGGAGAGATTGATGAGACAATTAATATATATGCTCTGAGAAACAGCTCATAGCAGGCTTAGGATTAGTCCCTGAAGGATTAACTAAGTTTAGGATTAGTCACTGAAGAACCCATAGTTGAGAAAAATGTTTAGTTAATCACGTCTTTTTAGTAAAAGTGCTTACCGCCAAGATAACTTAGGGTTAAGTGTGTAATTGCCCTAAATTGTGTAAGGTCGAATTTCATGGTAAATGAAATATTTACTACAACTGACATATTGACTTAATAAATACGTATTTCCTTTTGGGAAGCAGAAAATTCTCTGAGGAGAAGATTACATGCTATCTTGCTGTATTACTATTAGAAACACAGCCCAGGAAATAGCCTGCTGCTGTTCCTGGGACGTGGCTGAGGCAGGCAGTGGGACCAGCTCCTGATCCTGGGACCTTAGTCTGGGGTTAACTCTCTGCAGTCACCATCTTGAAATTCTTAATAATTTTGAAACAAAGAATTTTCATTTTCAGTTGGGACCCACAAGTTATGCCTTTGGTACTGTTGGGTAGGAGTTCACATTGGGTGGAGGGACTCTGGCTTGGAGGTCTGCCCATACATGGAAGGGACACATGACTGGTTCTGGAGCATGTTGAATCAAGAGGAAAGGTTTAAAAGCACCTAAAGGCAAGGGGCATGGTGATCGAGGGCTTGGTCCATTGGGTGATATGGAAGTTTAGGCAAAGGTCACCCAACGTAGTCTTGATGAAACAACTCAAAAGCCCCAGGATTTCTTGGTTGTCACCACTCTTACTGGGATTCCCCAGCTAATAGAGACCTTTTCCTATTTATAGCCGATGAGTACTGGGAATTCACCCTCAGTGAAAGTCCCTTGGCTGGCTGGGTGGGCCATGCCATGTAGCTTTACTTGGGGCTTTTTGGGACATCCAAGTTTTCAGAGGATCAGTCAGGCTGATCATAAAGATTCCTGAGCAGCTGGTCTTCTGGGACCTCCCTCTCTTGGGAACTTGAGTGGGAACAACTGCTGATTTCAGTTCTCCCCCATGAGGAGGGCCAGACAACAGGGATAGTCCCTCCTGACCCAAGTGTATGTGGTGCTCAGGGAGAATTCACCCACTTGGCCAGAGTTGGCCTTCCTGAACTGGGAATGCTCTGTGCTTGAGGATGCCAGGGCCACACACTCATTGAATGAGTTCACGAAGGCCAAGTTATGCCTGCTCTAGGATCCAACCAGACTTCTAATTTTTTTGTTTTTGTCTTTTTTTTAAGAGACAGAGTCCCTTTACATTGCCCAGGCTGTACTCGAACTTTTGGGCTCAAACGATCCTCTCGCTTCAGCCTCCTGAGTTCAGTTTTTATAAAGAAAACAGAAGATGACTGTTGGAAGACCCACCTCCTCAGTATAGCAGCCCCTAGGTTCCCTGAACTATCCTTCTGACTTATTTCTCCCATGACTGCTGACATCTTAGGGACAGAAACTTTGTCCTCCTCAACAATGAGTCCCTGGTCAGTCACATTCTGTTTAAAAGAAAGAAGGGCAATGAGAGAAATGCTGAAAAGTAGAAACTGGGGTTGCAGGGGAGGAGTGGGAAAGTGGTACCTGTGAGGACCATTAGTGATGGGGCTTGTGAGAGGAGAGAAGAGGGCTCTGGGATTCTTGGGGCTGCTTTCTGAGGGGTGAGGTCAAGTTCTTTTGCCATCTCATTTGGGGTTGGAGGCCACAGGGCATTATTATTATTCAGGGCAAGGGACAAAACTTGACGGGGCGGGGGAAGGGAGGATGTGAGGGGTATGTGTGATTTGAAATGTGTATCCTGGGCACTCAGCCGCTAGCCACTCAACAAGGACTGCTGGGTGCCCACTGAATGCACAACACAAACAGACAACTATGGAAAGATCCACAAGGAAAGCAAAGGATGCTCTTGGTCTTCCAGTGGCACTCAGTGTGGTGGACAGCAACAGTCACATGCCCATGACTCATTGTATAAAGGAGCTCCCTGTCCTCTTCTTCCTAACTCTGTTCTCTGCATCCCTTAAAAATCCTTATCTAAACCAATCACATCCTTTCTTTCTGTCTTCTTGGAGGAAGATAAAGGTTGAAATTTGTTTTATTGAACAGTCCAGCTGAATGTCTACAACCCAGCCCCATGTGACCTGACTCAACTGTCAGTGGGTTTTGGCTCTGGGGCTCATCTTGAGTGACTGAACTCTGCCTTGAGTGACTGACTCCACCTGGAATCACAGGGCTGGGAAAGACCACGTGAGAACCCTGCATCCATTCGCTTGCCTGCTTTCCTCTGTTAATAGTCCCTGGTATAAGAAAGTCAGCATACATTGGATTAGTTCCTATGCTGGTATAAACAAATTGCTACAAACTTTGTGCCTTCACACCACACCAATTCATTCTCTTACTGTTTTAGAGGTCTTCAGAACTGTGTTCCTAATGGAAACTCTAGGGGAAAATCTGTTTTCTTGCCTTTTTCAGTTTCCAGAGGCAGCTTACACTCCTTGGCTTGTGGCCTCACCCACCATCTTCAGAATCAGCAGTGCAGAATCTTTTCTTGTCTCTGACCTCCTGCTTTCCTGTCACAAGAGCCCTTGTGATTACATCAAGCCCACCTAGATAATCTAGGATAGTTTCCTATCTCAAGCCCAGCCCTCTCCATTGGTCCCTCTTTGTCCCCCAAAACAAATAAACAAGAAACAGGCTGAGTGTGGTGGCTCATACCTGCAATCCTAGCACATGGGATTTTGGAGGCCAAGTCAGGAGGATCACTTTGAGCTCAGGAGTTCAAGACCAGCCTAAGAAACACAACGAGACTTCATCTCTACAAAAAAATTAAAAATTACCTGGACAGGGTGGCAGGACCTATAGTTCCAGCTACTAGGGAGGATGAGGGGAGAGGATTGCCTGAGCCCAGGAAGCTGAGGCCATGGTGAGCTATGATCGCACCACTGCACACCAGCCTGGGTGACAGAGTGAGACTTTGTCTCTAAAAAAAAAAAAAGAGAGAGAAAACAAAGCAAAATAACAACAAAACTCCTAACAACATAACAACATAGAGAGGTTTCTACGGAAAAATCCCACTTCTATCCCTAGTCTCATTCACCCACATCGTCTACACGGAGGTGATGTATATGGAACTTCCTCTCCTTTCTCACACAAAAGGTATATATACATATATATTTTGACACATATTTTCTTTTCTTTCTGAAAACATCCTGAAGAATTTTCCCTATTAGAACACAGAATGACCTCATTCATATATTTCTTTCCCAATCACTTGGAATCACACTGTGTCATTGTGCCATAGTTTATTCAACTGGTCTTGTCTACAGATGTAAAGTCTGTTGTTTTCAGGCTTTTGCCATTACAAGCAATACTGTAACAAATCGCTTTGTACATACACTCTTCCTGTGTTTATAGGTCGATCTTGGAGATAAACCCCTACAAGTTGGATCAGTGTCCTAGAGTGGAAAGGCATTGGCGATTTTGTTAGATTTTCCCATAGCATCTTGCTTACAGTTGTAGCATAATAGACATAGGAGAATTCCCCTACAACCTCCCGGGAGGGAGTTGTCAGTCTCAGATTTTTAAAAACCAATCTGACATCTAGGATTTCAGTGAGCTTTTGCTACTAATGGAAGCTTTTCTGGGGTCATAGATCAGTGTGAAAGGAGCCCACGCCATGTGCTCAGACATCTGTGTGTGCATGCGTGTGTGTGTGCGTGTGTGTATGTCCTACATGCAGGGCCCGTGTGGAGCCCTCACTCTGTGCCTCGCCCCAAGAAGCAGTACACAGAGCTGCGCTAAGAGGGGTTGATTTTCTGTCCCTGTGAGGCTCCCGGGCTTCTGGTAGGAACTGGGGTTAGGGACCCCTCACATGGGCCTGTAGGTCCCATTGTAGCTAAAAGGGGGAGGCATCAAGCAGTCCTTGTCCTCAGGGATCCAGCGCTGGACATAGTTGGGGTCATTGTCCCGAGGCCACACAATCACAGTGTCTCTGGATGCCACAGATGGGTCCTCTGGGAAGAAGTTGAATGGGCGGAGCAGGAAGCCCACAGAGTTTCCGGGCGTGGCAGTGTTGGGAATGTCCTCTGAGTGGGGAATATGCAGGAAGCCCACTGTCACCCAGGCCACCAGGTCCTGCAGGAGAGAGGGGTGGGCTTCAGTGGGAAGAGCTGGGTATTGACCACTAGTGGCCACTCAGACTTTTAGGCATTTTCATTTGTTCCCAGAAACTCGCTGAGATCCTCCCAAGTCCCATTTTAAAGATCTGTTGTGACATCTGAACTTGCTGTCCACACAGCAAGCCATGGCTCTTGGGACTGGGGGCAGATCAAGGCAAAGAGTGGGTTGGACTCTCTGATGAGGATAAGAGTGGTTTTGGTCTGGGGCTGGCAGGAGGCAGGGCCAGGGTTAGGCATGGCTTGGAGCAAAGCTGTACCTCATTTTCGATGTTCTCATTGTTGTGAAGAAACTCCTCAAAGACCACAGGAGGATCCCAGGGGTCGTTCTGGTTGTAGATGCTACTGCTGCACAGCTCCGACTCCCGGTACTTGGTCACTGCCAGGGGGTATCTGCACGGACAGAGGAGAAGCCAGTGGCTCTGGGCACTGGGCTGGCCTCCCAGCCCCTGCCAGGGAGCATCCTCAGGGTCAGTATGGGGGAAAGTGACTGCCTTGCCCAAAATGAAAGATCATCTCTTGGGAGTCAGCAAGACTGGCTACTGTCAAGTGAGTTTCAGGTGCTTGGCAGAATTTCCCATGCTCCCTCCCCAAATGGACAGAGACACACACGCCCAGAGGTTGAACTGCAAGGGTCCACTTATATGTGGAGTTTCTTCTGCCTCTGGCAGCAAGGCCACCCTACTCTTCCTCTTCCTCAGTCTACTCAGTGTGAAGATGATGAGAACCTTGTGATGATTCACTATCACTACATTACTAGCAAATATATTTTCTTTTCCTTATGATTTTTTTTTTAGTCCCAGTCTCACTCTGTTGCCTGGAGGGCAGTGGCATGCTCACGGTCACCCCAGCATCGACCCGCTGGGCTCAGGTGATCCTTCTGCCTCAGCCTTCCAAGTGGCTGGAGCCACAGGCATGCACTACTGCCTGGCTAATTTTTTGATTTATTGTAGAGATGAGGTCTCGCCAAGTTGCCCGGGCTGGTCTCAAACTTGTGGGCATGGGCAGTCCACTCACCTTGGCACCCCAAAGTGCTGGGATTACAGGCCTGAGCTACCGAGCCCAGCCATGGTTTTCTTAATAACATTTTATTTTCTTTATCTTATTTTATTGTAAGAATATAGTATATAATACACAGAACATACAAAATATGTTGGTCATCTGTTTATGTTATCAGTAAGTCTTCCAGTCTGCAGTAGGGTCTTAGTAGTTAAGATTTTGGATGGCAATGCTATCCTAGTTTTTGACTGCATGGGGAGTTGACATCCCTAACACATGTTGTTCAAAAGTCAACAGTACACACACGTGCGTGCGCGCACACACACACACACAGACACAGAATCTCCTAGCCAAAAACAGACAGACACAGATATAGAAACACACACAGACACTAAGGGGAGCCCCTGATTGTCCCCTAAGCCCCAGGCTCCCCCTCACCTGGCCCAAGTAACAGCCCGCTCCTCCTGCCAGCCTGGGGGCAGCACTTGGTCGGCCATGGAGTGGATCTGTAGGCGGTAGCTGCGCTTGTGGCCCCAGGGGTTCTCCTGGGGGCTGGTAAAGAGCAGGTACTTGGGTAGTGTCCGTCCAAAGCGGAAGGCTGCCCGACGTTCCTGGGAATACTGCGTCTGCTCCAGAGTTGGCTGGACCAGGCGGTGTCTTGGGCTCCAGGGGTTGGTGGTGTTTTCTAGCTTCATCTGCAGAGTCTGAAAACTATTCTTGGTGCCTGGAGGCAGGCAGGGAGAAGGAGCATGAGAATCAAGCTGTGGGAACAGAAACTTTCTCATTCTACAATGAGATCTCCATCCTAGACCACATATACAGCAGGCAACCATCAGTAATGAACAGGATGTTGGGGGATGCCTGGGCAGCTGCAGGGATTCCATTGTGACTCTGGGCAGTTCCTCTCAAGAGAGCTGTGCTCATGCCTGTTTGTTTTGGTACAATCCAAGGGAAGGGGCAGCCCATCTTCAGGTGTGAGAGACAGTGTCCAGAGAGGCGACTGGGACTGAGGGGTGGGAGCCATCTATCTGGACCTGGCAGCCCTTTTCTCTTATGTGCTTTGGCATCAGGCCAACCTATCATTACATCCGTGCTGATCTTTTGTGGTGACATCACCCAGGGGGACACACTGAGCATTCCCAGAGGACACTACTCCAACCCCAAGTGCTAGGCAGTGATTTTTTTTTAGCCTCCTGGGCACCATCCCCTCCCCTGCCCCATACACAGCCCCGGGGCCAGGAGAGAGTCCACACTGTTGCATCCAGGGCAACCCTTGGCACTATTTACTTTCACTGTTTTTCAGGGGGCGCACACATTTCCAGCTTTGGGTGTCACAGAAGCAGGCCCAGCAAATACTCCTGATTTTATGGCCACCAGGCAGTTTGACCGGGAGAACCTTGCTTTGATTCCTACCTGCCACATCCAGGTCGACGCGGTAATGCACTAAGTGGGTGTGCATGTTGCCAATCAGGTGGGTGTGCAGGCGGGTGCCGTGGTGCAGCCCCTCAGGGGTGTAGAAGGTGGCGTGGACGTAGCCGGTGGCATGCATCTTTGTCTCCATCACCCCGTTGGAGTAGAAGATGTAGTCCCAAATGTAATCATAATTGTAGACGGTTGAAGTCGTCCGCAGCACCAGCACCTGACCCTTCAGCCCTGCATAGAAGTTGAAGCCACCATTAAAGTTGGAATTAAAGTGCCGCCGAATGGGTACTCCTGTGGGCATCTCAAAGAGGCAGAGAGCTCGGGGATAGTGAACAGGGCCATCGGCATCATAGTAGTGGAAGGCGTCCAGGAAGGTGGCAGTCTCCGGGCAGTCGATGCCAGGGGCTAACTCATGGGTAACGCTGCCCAGGCCCCAGCCCACATCGATGTACTTGGTCTGCATGCCCGCAGGTGTGTGTCCTCCATACAGTGCCACGGCATCTTGCACACTGACCTCATAGGCAATACGCTCTCCACCAAAGTGCACGTTCAGGACCTGCAGCCCAGACGAGGTGCGCAGCCGGAAGGCAAAGCTCCAGCCCCCATAGTGCACGGTGTTGCCCTCCAGCCTGTAGCGAGGGCCGTGGGGCTGGACCAAGCGAGGGCCGTTCACGCTGATGGGGCTGGGGAAGTCCCCGCGGAGTTTATAGGAGGAGAAGAGAGCTGTCTTCTCCATGCTCTCATCCCCCTCACCCTTGGGTGGTGGGTGCTCCAGGACCACCACGTCCACCTCTCTGTTGGCATACTTCTGAGCCAGTTCTTCTGGGCTTCTGTAGAACTTTCCGTTGTACCACACCTGCTCCACCACCCAGTCCCGGGCATCTATACTCCCATGATTCACAAGGAGCTCCAGCCCAGTGGGGTGCAAGAAATAGCCTTCTACATTGAGCTGAATGATAAGCCAGCTGCGGCGCTCTCCAGAAGCCAAGCCCCGGGGGGAAATGTCGGTGTAGGTCAGGCATCGGCTGTGGCAGTCTTGGAATGAAGAGCCTGTGGTGTCAAGGAAAAACTGATGCAGGGGCTTGATGGCTGCCTGCAGGGTGTGGTGGAGGAGGGTGTACTCTACCCTGGTGATGGGTCGGGATGTCCAGGAGAACTGGTGTCCAGGCCTGGGGGACAGCACTCGCATGTAGTTGGGCCATGGGAGGGGCCCCACAGCAAACTCAGTGACATTGGGATGCTCCTGGGCTCCAAAGAAGACGACGGCACGAGCTTCCCTATCAGGATGCCTTTCGCCTTTATCCAGAAATCTCAGCACATGTCGCTTCTTGGGCAGCAGCATCTCGATGAGGAATATGCTGTTCTTGGCCATGGTTGGGGCTGCAGAGGGCTGCAGCCTCAGCTCTTTCCTGGACTGCAGGAAGCTGTGCACGGCCTTCATTTCTTGGGCGCTCAGGTCTGCAAACACCCCCGCCTCATTGTGTGGGGTCCCCGAGGAATGTTCTGCCCCAGCCATCTGCAGCAGCAGGATGGCAGCCATGGCCCAGCCGAGGGCCAGGGTCTCTCGTTCCATCGCTCTGGAATGTAGTAGAGGACATGAGCTTAGTTGTCTTATGAGAGAAATAGGTTTCCGTCAGGCCAAGGCCTTAGAGTACAACCTCCCTCAGCCTCGGGGTTCTCCTACAGATTACACTTCCTCCCCTTGCCTAGCCCCAAGCTAGAGGCAGTCGGGTGCCGTACACTGTCGCTGTCCAGGACCCTGCCTGTGCTTCCACTGATTCTTTTTTGAGTCAGAGTCTCACTCTGTTGCCCAGGCTGGAGTGAAGTGACAGGATCATGGCTACCGCAGCCTCAACCTGCAGGGCTCAGCCTCGACCTTCTGCCTCAGCCTTCCAAGTAGCTGGAACTACAAGCACACACCTGGTTAAGTTTCCGATTTACTGCAGAGACGAGGTCTTGCCAAGTTTCCCAGGCTGGTCTTGAACCCCTGGGCCCAGGCAATCTTCTCACTTCTGCCTCCCAAAATGCTGAGATTATAGTCATAAGCCACCACACCCGGCCTCCACTGATTTTAACTGTCCTGTCCTCACACCTCTGTAAACCTCTTATGATCCTGTGAACTTTCTTACCCAGGAGAATTCCTTTGTTTTTGTGCATTATTTCAGCAGAGTAGAGCACAGGCTCTTAACTTACCACCGTTAGATTACTTAGCCAGGCGTGCTATGAATCACAGCGGCCGGGCTGTGCCCCTGTCCAAGCCCCAAAGTGCTTATTGTGTCCTGGAGAGGCAGACACTTGTACCAACAGCAAAACTATGTTTTTGTTTTGACTTCTGGCCCAAACCCCAGATATCCCATTGGAATTTACCTGTGTACTCTGCTCCTGGCTTACTTCTGCTGCCAACCTTTGTCCCTGAGCGAATCTCGGCCCTGACACAACAAAACACTTTCTAGGTAGACACATTTTGACATTTAGTGTAGACGTTCAATGGATAGGCTCTGGAGTCAGGTTGCCTGGGTTTGAGTCCTAATAACTCATGCCACTAGGATTAGCTGGGCCTTTATTTTCTCAACCATAAAATGGAAATAACAACAGTACCTACCTCCTAGGGTTGTGGAGAGAAATTGATAAGACAGTAAATATAGTGTTTGTAACAGTGCCTACCTTATAGGATACATGCAAGAAATGCTAGCTGCTCTTGTTTTAAAATTAAATGCAGTCTGTCAACACCAGCATATTTAAAGTTTTAAGCAATGTAGAGTGATTCAACTGTGACTAGGCTGTATACCTGTGTCTGTGACAGTGAGATTGAGGTGGCTAGTCCTGCCCAGCCTTCTTTACCCCAATCACCCACTTGAGACACTCAAGTTGTGGTCTCTTAACCATCCAAGGCTACTAGGAGGGCACCTCAAGGGGAAGTTGTCATCTCAGGTAACAGTGCCTTTTTCCTTCCCTTTTGGAAGGAAGGTTTGCTCAGGGTCTTCACCTCCTAATTTCATCTCCCAAGCTGCCAGTTAACTCCTGTGCATGCAGCTGAGAGTCTTCTGCAGGACTGGTGAGACCTTGGTGGCCACCACTGTGTGCTCCCTTGTGCCTGGGTGGTGCCCCCTGCCAGGCCCCGCTGTGTGAGGAGTCTCTGTGAGACTGCTGCTGCCGCTGGCTGGAACTGTCTCTTTCATTTAGCAGTATGCATTTAGGGTACCCCATGTCGAATCATGGCTGAGCCTCCTTTGTATCTTATTTTCTTTTTGAGTCAGAGTCTCACTCTGTCACCCAGGCTGGAGTGCAGCGGCATGATCATGGCTATTGCAGCCTCAAGCTCCTGTGAGCCTCCTTTATTATATTCCCTTATCTCCCAGTTTCTTTTTGCTTTGCCAGAGAGAGAAATGCGGAAGAGACCTTCACCCTCCCAGGGCAGCCCTCTGTTCCCATGTGCACTGGCAGTGGGGAAATGGTCGATGGCAATGGAGCCATCACGGAAAAGGGAGACTTGGTGTCTGGTGAGACCTCCGTGAGGAAAGGAAACATGCCCTCTCCTCCCTCACTCAGCCCTCGCCGCGCCTTCCTTTCTCTCGGCCCAGGTTAACTGATGCCTGCCCCTGAGCATCCTTGGTGCCTTTTGAGACGTGTGGGACTCCTGCCCTTGCTTCCTGGTCCTCCTCCCTCTGGGTCCTGTTTCTCCTGCCCCTTACTCCATGCCCTTCTTGTGTGGCTTCTCGTCCCAGCCAGCTCCTTCTCGACTCTCCCCAAATGTCCCATCAGAACGCACCTGTGTGCTCTGCTCCTGGCTCACGTCTGCTGCCAGCCTTTGTCCCTGAGCTAATCTCTGACTCCTTCTTAAAGTCTATTAGACCCCGCCCTACAGGGAGGGATAGGGTGAGGCATGGGCTGGCCAAGGAGGGGACTGTGGCAAAGAACCCCTCAGGGCACGAGGGCATGTGTGAGGGGGTGCTGGCTGATGTAGCACATGTATCCTAGATCTGTCTCCCCACTATTCCTGTCACAGTGCCACCTTCCTCAAGAATTTGCCTTGGCTTTCTCTGCTGTGAGCTGTGCAATGCCACAATCTGTTAATGTAGGTGCTATATTTCAGAGGCAGAGATAAGGACAAGGGGAAATTTCCTAGCCAGTAATCGTACCTGAATCCAACATATGGACCAAGGCAGTGGCTGACAGAGACTGACACCCCCAGAAAAACAGGGAATTTGACCAACAGGTAGAATAGGGCACCAGAAGCAGAACAGTTTGGGAGAAGAAGCCACTGGGCTGAGAGTCTAGAAGCCTTACTAACCGTCTCTGCAACTCTGACAGAATTCAGATAGGAGGAGAGACTTGGCTGAGAGGAAGTGGGTCAGGATGGCTACGGCTGTGGCACAGAGACGAGGGGAGACTGAGGCAGGTGGTACCTATGCTGGGAGGAGATGAAAACATGTTCAAATGTAGTGGTTATCAGATAAATGGAAAATATTCAACAATGAGAGATAATTTTGTACCCGTGATTGGCTGAACCGGGTAAGCTGGGCGATGCCAAGTGTTGGTGGAGACGTGGGAAGATAAGGACTACACGTGTGGCTTGTGGGGAGTCATCGATGGCACAGCTGTTCTAGAGTGCACTTTCCAGGGCATGGGCAGATGAGGAGTTGCAGGGACCCCAGACTCAGCAATTCTGCCTCTTGAAATACCTGCCAAAGAGGTTCTCATACAGGTTCAGAGGGAGGACGCAGACACAAGTGGCTGTGGAAACAGAGAGCTGGGGGCCATCCAAGTGAGCCCACCCCCAGGAGAGTCATCAGTGCACACCACAGAGTGCTATGCAGCTGGTGGAAGCAAAGGTGTGGATGTCCACACAGCAACTCCCAAGAATGGATCTTAAGGGTGTGGGAAGAAACAGGATGAATGATAGAGCACACATGAAAATATGTGGCTGGGCTCACTCCTGTGATCTTGGCAATTTGAGAGGCCAAGGCGGGAGGATTACTTGAGGCCAGGAGTTCAAGACCAGCCTGAACAACATAGTGAGTCCCTGTCTGTACAAAATGTTAAACTAATAACCAGGCATGGTAGTGCTGTCTGTAGTCCTAGCTACTCAGGAGGCCGAGCTGGGAAGATCACTTGAACCTAGGAGTTCAAGGCTGCAGTGAGTTATTATCATGCTACTGCACTCCAACTTGTGTGATAGAGCAATCCTTTGGCTTGTGGACATATCATTCCAATCTGTGTCCTTACGTGATGTCCTTCTTGTCTTTGTGACTCTTCTTACAAGGACACCAATCATGAAACTAAGGTTCCACCCTATTCCAGTATGACCTTATCTGTACTAGTTCATCTGTGATGATCCTGTTTCCAAATAAGATCACATTCTGAGGTTTCAGGAAGGACATGAATTTTGGGGGGATGCTATGCAATCTAGCACACATGCTTCATTGCAGAGATCCCGGCCTTAGCCAGGTGAGTTCTGAGCCCTGTGCTCTGGGGCCTGCTCCCCTGAGGATGCACAGGACAGAGCCTGTGTGAGGTCTTGGGTTAAGAGAGGAACTTAGGAGGAAGAGGAAATGCTGGGCATGGCGTGGTCAGGAGCAGAGTCCCAGAGCGGAGATGCTGTGTGTTCCCGGGACATGGGGTAGCATGGGGACCGCTGAGGGGAGTGGGGTGAGGTTTGTGACCCTGTGCTGAGGAAGTGGGGATCAGGAGATGTCTGGGAGGAGATGGTCAGAGTAAGAAGCTGCTGCACACTTTATAAAAATGCGAGATAAAGGGGGACTTGAAGGAGCGCAGTGGAGACCAAGGAGACAGAGAAGCCTTTAAGACAGGCCCCTAAAAGGCTGAGGTGAGCAGAGTTCTTGGGCAGAAAAGCTGGGGCAAGGCTGTTGCTTTTGACTTATGTTTGGGCACATCGTGGCCAAGGAACTTGAGATGTTATTTTCTGGAATATGGGCTCTAATATACCTGGCCATCTCTCATCCCTGGCTCACCATGCTTCGTGTCTGGGGACTGACCCCTCCCTATTGGAGGTGACCTCGAGTTCTCGAGTACAGTTTCTCCTTCTTGGGGTTAATGTTCGGTGACAGTTAGAGATAACACTCGGGCAAAGGCCATGTTCTTTAAGTTCTTGGCTGCCTCCCTTTCTTAAAGGGGCAGAACCAAGGTACTTGGGGATGGAGATATGGTAGAGGACAGAAAGCCCAGTCTTGGGGAGGGGACAGTGCTTACTATCTTGGGTCTAGAAGGCCAGAGATCACAGATCACAGATGTCCCTTTGCTAAATTGTGATATTTTGCTTCCAGAAAGTCACAACCCATTAGAGATAATTTGAGATTATCTAGAGAATGGGATTTTAAAAAAATACAACCACAAGAAAGAAATCGAGCAGGGGTGCCCACACCAAGGCCTGCTGGAGGTGCACCAGAGAAGCCACTTGATTAGATCTTTATACTAATGAAGCAAACATCATAGCTTTTGTCCCTGATTAGCACAGACTGGTTTGAAAAATAGAAAACTACCATTTTCCAAAAGCAAGGACACTGGCTTGGCTTGGGCAACTCCACCCTGAATGGGAGAATATCTTCAAGTACCAGCCCTTCTTTCACCATTGGCTGGTGAGTTTATTCTTGATTTTTTTTTTTTTGAATTCAGGTCTCTCTCTGTTACCCAGGTTGGAAGGCAGTGGCATGGTTACAGCTTATCATAGCCTTGATCTCCTGGGCTCAGGTGACCCTTCTGCCTCAGCCTCCTGAGTAACTGGGGTTACTCGTGCATGCCATCACACCTGGCTTTTTTTTTAAATTTTAATTTTTTGTAGAGATATGGTCTCACTGTGTTGCTTAGGCTGGTCTTGAACTTCTGGGCTCAAGCAATTCTCCCATCTTGGCCTCCAAAGTCACCGTGCCTGGCCTGGTTTACTCTTGATAGTTATTAATTCACTCAACAAATGTTCATGGAACACTCATTCTGCACCAGGGACTCTTCTACAGGCTGAGACACAGCAGCCAACAAACAAAACCAAACCACTGTGGGACTTAGCGAGAAGAGTATCAAACAAAGTGCAAAGTCCTCAATGCAGGTTGAGGAGACCGATGTCAACAGGGGTGAGTGATGGAAGACGGGCATAAAGAGTGACAAGGACCAGATCCCCTAGGACCTCCAAGCATATCATAGGATCTCTGGCTTTTACTCTGCGCCAGATGGGAAACCTCGGTCAGGTTTGTGTAGAGGCAGGAATTGGCCTGCCCTTTAGCAGATACAGTCTGGCAGCGCTGCTAGAGAGAGAATGCAATAGAGTGAAGGGTGCCATGGCAGAAACAAGTAGCCATTGCAATAGAGGCTGCTGTAATAATCCTGGTGGGCAAGCATGGTTGCAGGGGTCAGAGTTGCAGGGGTGGAAATGGTGAGAAGTGGCCAGATTCTGAAAAGCTTCAGCTATGGTTACAACTGAACAGATCTGCTGTTTCTAAGTTTGCTTTCACTCCAATAGAGGGCAATTGATAATCTTCATGTCCTGACCCCTGGGGAGGGGGGAAGCTTCCCATGAGGCTGATAAACACAATTTCCTTTAAACGATGAATCTAAGACTGCACAGATCTCCTTGAGGGACAAAACTGGCTCTGATCTCCAAAGACCCCACCTCCCACATACCTTCCTACTAAACTACCTCTGTAATGGCTCACTGTCCAGGGGGTAATGGCTGATGGTCATGAGACATGCTTTATAGATAGCATCTATTGTAAAACCGAAGAATAGTATGTGAGAGCTTTTTCAAGCTTGGATGGACCTGAGGCCTCACCTTGGTCCAGAATACATACCAGGAAGCTGCCTCCACTGGTCTTATAATGCCCCCTTCCAGAAACTGACTCTGTCACATGAAGGCAGTTTCAACACCCCTATGACACCATCACCTGATTAGCCGTTCCTAGCCCCCTGTCCACCAAATTCCTTTGAAAAGACCTAGCTTCAGAATTCTCTGGGAAGCAGATTTGAGAAATATTTCCCATCCTCCTCACTCAGCTGCTTTACAATATTAAACTCTTTTCTCTACTGCAGTAGCTGTGTTAGTCTCAGTTTTTCTGGACGGCAGGCGTATCAACCTGGTCAGGCTGTAACCTCGGCACCATTGATATTTTGAGCCTGATAATGCTTTGTTGTGGGGCACAGCAGGATGTTTAGCAACATCCCTGGCCTTGACTTGCTAGATGCCAATAGCAGTCCCCACTCTGTTGTGACAAACAATATCTTCAGACACTGCCCGACATTTCCTGGGAGGCGAAATTGTTATCCTTTTGAGAACTTGTGGTCTATATTTAAGCCCTTGTGATTTGACCTGGAAACTGCAATCGCCTCCAGATACTCCACCTCTCCTCTGGAGCCCTTCCAGTCTGCTCTTCATGCTTTTGCTAGGACACAGATCTGACCCCATCTCCCTCCCCTCTTTGGTGGGTTCCAGTTGCCTATTGGATAAAATGCAAACTATTTAATTTGGCATTAAAAGCCTCTCAGAGTCCAGCCCCAATCTTCCTTTTGTTCTTGGTACACCCTCTTGCCCTAACTTCCCCCTGCTCCATACTGCAGCCTTTCTGAATCATGTCAGGCTCACTGGGGCTGCCTGGCCTTTGTCTGCCTTGTTGCTTTTCTGCAAGGCTCTCTCTTCTTATTCACAGAGCGAGCTCTTTCTTTAAGCTGCAGCACCAAAGTCCATCCCCTTCAACCCTCTTTACATCCTCCCTAGAGCAGTCTTGCCCTATTTGGTTCCAGGATGCTTGTTCATCTCTGTTACTGCATTTGCCACATGGCCTTGTAACTATTTGCTCATACTCAGAAGTTTGTCTCTTCTGCTTTCTAGAGGTCAATGCATAGAGATC